ATGTCCACTAACAATGTTGTTGAGCCCTATAGCTTTAAGCATGCAGCAAAGGATCCCAAGTGGATGAGTGCCATGAGAGATGAGATGAAGGCACTGGAACAGAATCAAACTTGGGAGATTGTGGATATTCCAAAAGGTAAAAGGGCTATTGGATGTAAGTGGGTCTTCAAAGTTAAATATAAATCTAACGGTAGTGTAGAATGATATGAGGCTCGCTTAGTGGCTAAAGGATATAGCCAACAAGAAGGAATCGATTATTTTGATACTTTTTTCCGGTTGTTAAGATGGTTACTATTAGATGTATTTTAACTCTTGCAGCCATGCATTGTTGGCATTTGTTTCAAATAGATGTCAACAATGCATTCCTGCAGGGGGACCTCCATGAGGAAGTCTACATGAAAATCCTTCAAGGATTTGATCAGTTTGCCTGCACCAAAGTATATAAACTGAACAAATCTTTATATGGCCTCAAGCAAGCATCCAGACAATAAAATGCAAAGCTTACCGAGGCTTTGATATAAGGGGGGTTTCGACAAAGTAGATATGATTATTCACTCTTTGTTAAACAAAACAAACATGAGATTACTGTAATATTGGCATATGTAGACGATCTTGTGATTGCTGGAAATAGTATTGACAAGATTAATGACATTAAAAATCATTTACACTGAAAGTTTAGAATTAAAGACTTAGGAGAGCTTAAATACTTTCTGGGGTTAGAGTTGGTAAGGTCTAAGAAAGGCATTATTCTTAATCAAAAAAGATATGCTTTAGATCTCATTTCAGATGCAGGTTTAAGTGCATCCAAGCCATTGAAAGTTCCTATGGAGAGAAGCATCAGATTGTCAAATTTGGGAATTCAAATGAAGTCTAGTAAGGCAAATAGAAGAAAACAGAAGGAACAAGCTAACTTAGATCCTCTTCTTCAAGAACCTTCAACATATCGACGTCTAGTAGGTAGATTATCTTATCTTACTGTGACTCAACCTGACATATGCTTTGTTATGCAGACTCTCAGTCAGTTTATGAGTGCCCCACGGAAATCTTATATGGAGGCAACAACACGAGTTGTAAGATACTTGAAGGGCAATCCTAGATTGGGAATATTTCTCGCTGCAACAAGTAGAACAGACTTGGAATGTTATGTAGACTCTAATTGGGTAGCTTGTCATGATACAAGAAGATCAGTAACTGGCTTCATAATTAAATTTGGTGGGTCTTCAATCTGCTGGAAATCCAAGAAGCAGCCAACAGTGTCTAAGTCCTCAGCTGAAGCAGAATATCGAGCTCTAGGATCAGTCGTTTCCGAAGTTACATGGTTGACACGTATGCTCAAGGATCTGGATGTTAGAGGAGTTGAACCAGTGAAGGTTTATTGTGACAGCAAAGCTGCAATTTATATTGCAAGCAATCCCGTTTTCCATGAACGCGCAAAACACATTGAAATATTTTGTCATTTTGTGTGTGAAAAACTACAACAAGGAGTCATTGATTTAGGGCCTGTTTAGGCAACATCTCAGGCGATGGTTTAGGGACCCAAACCATGGTTTGGATAAAAGAGTTGCCAAACAGGGGGCAAAAGTGACAAACCATGGTTTGGGGTCAAAACCATGGTTTTGGACTCAAAACCATGGTTTTGGACTCAAAACCATAGTTTCAGAAAAAGTGAATCCATTATGCTTCTTACTCAAATTAGAGAATAAGTTTATGCCTGTTAAAGTAGATCTCAACAATAATATGACTTTAATACCCCTCAATTATTTTTTTATAAACATATTTAATCTTATATTTTATAAATATATATACACATATTAATTATTTATTAATTACATTATCTTACATATCATTAATTATGTTGGTAAAAAATATATTATTAACAATTTTATTCCTTCAAATTAAAATATATTATAAAATCCATCTTTTATGTAATTATCATATTAGTTTATGCTTTTTTTTAGTAATTAGCACACATAAAAAGTGCTTCTGATAACAACTATTCAAACATTCTCACTTTATCAAAATCACTTTCACAAAATCTATTCTCCTAAGAATCTATTCTTTAGAAGCTATTTTTCAAACCATGGTTTGGTTTTATCCAAACACCATCTTACAACATGTTAGTAGTAAGAATCAGTTAGCAGATGTTTTGACAAATGCTCTAGGTAGTGAAGACCATGAGAGATTGATACGCAAGTTAGGTGCTGTTAGCTTGTTCAACCCCCAACTTGAAGGGGGGTGATGAGAGACTAGAGTCCAATGTATTCTGAGAAATCCAATGTATTGATGTATCAAGCCGTAAGCCCATTATGAGTCCATGTTTGTTGTATAAGTATTGATAGATTACTCAATAATATTTGATTGGTATTTTCCCACCAAGTCCAGTATCTTGTCATGCTCCGTTTCACAAGCCCAATTTATTTGTAACGCCCTGCGGATCATCCTTAAGATGGGGATCAGTGCTCAGTCTCTGGCTCCACCGGTGGTTTGCAAGAACTGATGACCACTCTTGACGGATATCTTTAATGAAATACGTGGCATAATGGAAATCTCAAACATTTTTTTAACCAATGTAAACCTAAAAAATTGAAATAGATCGCCTTGGATAATGAATAGGTGGCATACAGTAGAATTATTGTACTATTTTTGATCCTAATTATAAGACCTCGTTTGTAATTTACAAATAAGATCTTATAATTAAGACCGAGGTAGTATATGATAGGAGCACAAATTGATGAACTGTTCATCTTAATTTGGACTATTCAGATTGATTTTGAATTGTTCAAATTCAATTTAAAATTTTTTATGTATTGTAATTAATTTTTATTTTAACAGATACATTAATTTAAGACAAAGAAAAACTTATAACTAACACTTATTTAGAAAATAAAAATCATTGAAAAAAAATACATATTAAAACTTTCAAATTTGAACCATCCATAGTGAGGACATGGTGCTTACCACATGAAGACTATCTATATATGATTCTCCCCCTTCATGAAGATTTACTTGATGAAAACTACTTAACTTTGAATTTCATCCCCTACTTGTTTGCTTGAGGCCGTGGGATGCGGCTTTTGCTCTGCCTCTCCGTCGTGATACGGCTGAAAAATGCCCAATATTAATTATTGAATATTGTGACCGTCATTTTACATTCCAATAGAAAGAAAAAAAATTCAAGAAAAAATTATAATGGTCTTGATTATAAGACTGCAATTTATTTTCTTTCTCGTATTTATCTTTTTTTAAATGGTTTTTTAAGTAATTGCACCTGTTCAAATGATAGTTCTAATTAATATACATAATCAACAAAGGTATTTTAAAAAAGATAACATTTATTTATTACAAATAACTAAGAGTCTATTTGGGATAGTATTCATATAAGTCGAGACAAAACTTTTTTCACATACTTACTCTAAATCATTACTGAAAAACTACTTATAAGTTATTACAAGCAGGCCTTAAACAAACTTATTTAATCTACTCAAATTAATCAATCAACTCTCATATTAAAAATGAGATACAGTATTAATTAATAATTTATTGTTATATATGGCAAAAGCCAAAAGAATGCCAGAAATATTGAAAACAAACGGAAAAACAGGCTGCGTTTTGTAGTCCCTTGCCAGGTCCTACCCGATAGAAGGACCTAATCATTTTGGACTGGGCAGGACAGGCTTTCCTACCCAACTTAGTGACACCTTACCCATATCATATGCAGAAAAAAATTCAATTATAATTGATAAACTCATAAAAATTATAATTGAAAGGTCAAATATAAAAATGTAAATCTAAAAATACTAAGTTGTCCCTAATTAATCTTTTTCTATTTCCCCTACCTTCATTTAAAAAAAAGAAGAAGATAAAACTATAACATTCTTTTCTTTACTTCTATGTAACCATAAACATTAAAATATACATTAAAAGGATCGGAAGTAAATGTTAATATTGTGGGAGAGATAACATGAAAAGATAAGTGCATAAATTTGACACATGGATAATCATCATCAATTTCAACCATGCGACCTCATTGTCATGCTTTGAAACAAGGTGAATTTATCACCAATGACTCAATCACTCGTATGTAAGGCTTGTACAGTCTTGTTCTTCAACTTTCGATTTCTCACAGGAGGTAAAAAAAAATCATTTAATAACTGAACCAATTCTTGTAGTTCAATTTTTTTAGTTTATTCGTTAGCTTGCTGGTCCAAAAAAAAGTTTATTCGTTAGCTGGTTTTAGTTTTTTTTTTTTTCCTTTGTTTTAGAAATTGGAGGAAAAAGGAAAATTTTTTTGACTAAGAACAATTTAACATATTTAATCTTATATTTTGATATTTAGTTCTTTTATATAATTATAATTTTTATGTTCCTTTTATTTTTCTAACTTTACCTAACTTTTTTTAGCTAAAATAAAAAAAAAGATAATGACTGAAAATAATATAATATTATATAGTATAATATATATAATTATATACATTTTTCAGCAAGGCCAAATGGATATGACGCCCCCAGTGCGGCCATGCCCGTGAATCAGCCCTACCTGAAAATGTTTTTTTTTTCTTGGTTCAGACATTTTTTTTTGGACTGGCTGGACATTTTTTTTGCGGACTCTGGACATGCGGGCCTCCTACACACCTTTATTCTGGAAGAAGCATTTACAGCTGCAACAGGAAAAATATTATACTCCTCCGGTTCTTATTATAAGACCCAATTTAACTTTTTATTTGATCCTAATTATAAGACCCAATCCATTTTCTCTCTTATATTTATACATTTTTTTTCCAAGATAATCCTTCTAATAATGATAGTTTTAGCCAATATACTTAATTAGCAAGGATATTTTAGGAATAACAACACTTATTTATTATAAATAACCAACTCAACTTACTTCCTTAATCTCCTCAAATAAGTCAATTGGGTCTTATAATTAGGACCGGAGGAGTACTTGTAATTTTAGGACGAACGAATTTCAGGCAAAAGAGGGGGGGGGGGATGAACGCATCAAACAGACAAGTGCACTCCATGAAATCAGTGTCATTAAGGTTTATCATGACTATAAATAAACGGAAAGTCAACCCTGGATGTACAGAAACCCCCTGAACTCTTCATCTTAAATTTAAACCAAAAGAAGACAAGAAATACATATCACTTAGAATTGGAATGACAACTAGGAAAGCAGCTGAAGCGGAAAGAATATTTCCTTCCTTCCACAGCCATTCTTCCAAGAAGCCCTAAAAAGCTAAGATTATAACAAGATAGCGCTTTAACTAATGACGGGGTCCAAAGTATAACAGGATATTGATGTAAACCCAAATGCACAACAATTGTCAGCCACTTCAGTCCTTCTTTCTGTCTTTCAGAGGTCCCTTGGGAATCTTACTCAAAACCTTGGCATCAAACACCGCATAATGCTTCTTCATCTCCGCGGTTGCCTTCTCCGCAAAGGCATCCACTTGATCTTCATACTTCTCATAGAGCACAGGAACAGTGTGAAGCAAAACAAAGGCTGTTCCCCGCACATCAGATGGAATAAATCAACATAGTACTTAAACTTCCAGGGCAGGAAGTGCTAACTGTGATATAAACCTCAATAAAAATAGGAAAACTTCGTTACCTATATAGAACAACGTCAAGAAGTTGCAACAGCTCCCCATAATAGAGAAAACCCATAACCCTGCAATTACCTAACATGATACAGAACATAGAAATAAACACAACCATCAATGTTATTTCAGGAAACATGATAATAACGACCCATAATTCAACGTTAAATGACAGCCAGGTTACAATATACCGTCGAATAACAGGGTAGACGAAAACAAAAAATGTGAAATGCAACCCCCTGCCCCTTCTCTTTTTGGCCCATTCCTCTTTAACCACTAACTTCCCGGAAGACCCACACACAAAACTCTCATTTCTCTATCAAATTCAAACCCCTGCTTTAAGCCTTAAATGCAGGGGACCCTCATTCCATTTGTTTCCTAAATCCCCAGGCCCCCCTTCTTGTTTTCTCCTCCTGGGGTTCCGTTTTGATAATGATAGATTTTTTAGTTAACTCACATTATAAGAACACGTTAATGAAATAACTACAGAACTGTAAGTTAGAAAAGGAAATGAACATACAGAAAGAAATTTCTTGAGATCCCTCCCTGATGCAATATCCCTCAAAGTAGCCAGAAACCAATTGATCTCAGTTCTAAGAGCAGAAGCAAACTGTCGGACAGGTTCCTCCGGGATGTGAACTTCTGGGATCCGTGGTGGCGTCCTGATAAATAGTAATTATTAAATTAAGTAACTAACACAAGGAAAAGAATTAAGTAGCATAAAACTAGACATGGTCTAGAGGCTTTACTTGTTGATAAAAGTTGAGGCATTGGACCACAGGAACAAAATTGCCAGAGCAAGAATTAGGAAGTGGCACACCAAAGTGAGTAGATGGTATTCAAGCAATTCAAATAGAACCCAGACAGCCGTTGCAACACCAAGAGCAGAAGCTGATATCTTCTTATTCCTCCATAGCATAACATCGGCCGCTGTTACATGAACAGGCAAATCAGAAGACACCAACAAATAAAACAAAGACAAGGAAAACTGGAGAGGGGAGCAAATCTAACCCTTGAATGCCAAGTGTGACATTTTAATGAAGAATTTTCACCGTCAATAGCAAAATGGATGAATCATAACCCCGGATCAGAAGCTGCACTCAATCTGATATCGCCCCGGGGGGGGGGGAGTTCATCCAATACAACATTTCAGGGATGTGGCTCTCAAAATATCTAGTCTCTAGAATTTTGACAATGAATGATGCACTACATAGTTATAATATCCTGAAACACACGACCTCTAGTTCGGTATTTCTCATTATTTTTGCACACAAAATAAAGATGACATTACCTCTAATTAATTCAAGGATGCGTTCACAAATTACAACAGAGAAACAGGCATAACAAAGTCAAATTATATGACTTCAGTAATGATTTCACTCAAATCAAGTTCAATTACTGAAAAGAGGGGTAGAAGAATCATATTCAGACCTCGATCAAAAGATTATAAATGAGGAAAGGTATAATTAAAGCATAAGAATGACAATAACATAAATGAATTGGAAACTGAAGTTCCATGAGAAATAGAAATGAAAGTAAAAAATAGGCTACATACGTTTTCCACCACCAAGGACATTATGAACAGGCTTTTCCCTTCCAAAAAGTCGGAAAACCTTGGACTGGATTGAAGGAGTTGATTTATTCTTTTCGTTGTCGGAATCAGACGAAGACGATGAGGAATGGTGGTCATGAATCTTCTCAGATACCTTGTCTAGCAATGATTCAGACTTTGGCTCGTCGTGCTCGTGATGCTCGGCCATGATTCACAAACTGAAAATTTCGCGCTTCCAATCGGCAATCAACAAGAACCCTAAGGCTAGTTTCGAAACGTCTGGAGGAAAAGGACCCTCGAAAGCGAAAATTGGCCGAGTCATGCTTTTTCAGGCTTTAAAACTAGAGTGATGAGTTGAGTGTGAAACCGATGGCAAGGGATGGCATCTCAGCCGTTCAAAGTGAATGACCCGAATTTCATAACCGAACCCGAGAGCGTAAGAGAAAGGAAACGATTGACGGAGTTAAAGTTGCCGTGAGATCGGTGCGCGAGATCAACAGGGTAGCGGTTCTTCGCACCCGTTACGCCAGACGGTGCCTGCCCGCAGATCACTTGGACGCGTGGCGCGCACACGATTATCGGCGTTTCAAAATCACGCAACGCGGTAATGAAAATGACAGGTGACGCAGCGACGCCCGTTGTCGCGTAAGGGCGAGACACAGATCTACAACACGTGGCGTGAGTGGGTCCCATTCGCAAGATATTCTTAGCTCGCAAGAAAGCAACCTGTCCACATACACACGTTTTATATAATTAAATTTTGGTTCTTGATAGACATTAATTCCGGTTTTGAGAGTAAATGTAATTTTAAAAGAAAATACCGGGGCCCGCAGGAAGATTCCTTAGTTTCGTCTGCGCAATCTAGAATGACCATTTCTAAACTTTGTGTTGTTTTCCGCACTTAGTTTTTATAAGGGGTGATATTTGAACGCAGCATTTTGGGGACCAAAATAATGTGAGCACGCACGCCAGCTCAAATAATGCGAAAAAGCACAAAACATGGCGCATGTTGGAGGAATCATGGAGTTAAGTCGCTGGTGACCATAGACCATAGTGTTCCCCATCAAGATCAGAAGAGCAAATCAAAAGCAGCACAGAAGAAGCACAAACGTGAAAATAAAAGAAGATGGCCAAGTCGTGTACCCTGCCAAAAAAACAAAAAAGAATGAATGCCTATAGAAGAGTGAGAAAGATAGTGGTGCGACCACACGCAATAACAAAAGATATCTTGGGAACATTTTTGTAACCAGTAAAGGAGGAGTCCATCCCACGCAAATGAATGCTGGAAAAGAAACAAACCCAATTTCTATATTCGCAAGTGCGGTTTCTTTCTCTTTTTTTTTTTCTTTTTTTTTTTTTTGCCAGTGTGTAAAAGAAACAGATGACCCCACATCCAGCTTTTACCTCTCAGAAATATTCACCCATTGAAAAAGAAAAAGTTTGAACGTGCACAATTACTAGTACTTGGAGAAGAAATAAGCGTTGCGGACAAAAAGCAGGACAACTAAAGTGGGAACACCATGAGCAGCCTTCTTTTATTTTACAACTCGAGAACCAAAAACCCAGGCTTTACCCTCAGACATAGAGCTGTTAATAAGGGCCAGGGCTTAAAAAAACTAACCTTTTAAAACTTGCATACCTTAAAATTATCTAATTATTAAAACCCGTCCCCTAAACATGTGGGCTCAGGGTTTTAAAGAGCTGATCTTTTTATATTATTTTTTAAAATTTAAATTTTTTTAATTATTTTAAAATAAAAAAACAACAAAACTTTAAGATTTTTTATTCGAATTATAAATATTAGTAAAATAAACTAATGGCGTATAGAAAAAAATTAAATACCAATAAACTATTGTCCGAAATAAAAAGATAAAAATCTAACGAAACAGGAAAAATAGAAAGATAAAAACCTAGTAGCTAAAGATTAACAACATCAATATCATTATTATCTTTATCTTCATCTTCATCAATATCATCAAGATTAGTAATATTTGATTGTTCTTCACTACAAGTGAGCTCTTCTCCGGTGAAAAAAATATTAAGGTTCTCACCTTTATCTACCTTATCTAAAATAAAATTATACAGTAGTTATGAGTACAAATAAAAACCTAAACATTTGTTCGAATATGAAAAGTTTTACACTTTGTTAAGATATGTAAACTGATAGTAAAGGAAGATTTACTAGCTATTGAACTGATTAGAATGCTAAGAATATCTGCTGTCATTCTTGAAAGAATTGAAAATTCATTTTAATTGTTCTTCCACTAGTCTAAGACATCTAATTCTTTTTAATTATCTGGCTTGAGTATTGGTTCTTTTAAATATTTTTCTAATTCAAACTTGTTCACAAAAGACTTGTAACATTCTGAGTTTTATCGGATTTTAATAACCTCTTTTGGTTGATTTTGAGGATAGATTAGTGATTTAATGTTGATCTTGGTGTTTGGGTTGGAATTGATGTATTTTGGAGGAATAGGTGAACATACCCCTCTCAGGGTATGTTCGCCGCGGCGAACCGGGAGTTCCAGGGGGGATTGTCTTTCGGTCAGGTTTGGCCGCGGCGAAATCATAAGGACGCCGTGGCGAAGATTGGAGTTCGTCGCGGCGAAGTCGGGTTTTCAGGCGAGTAATCCCTCTCGGCTCTCGGGATTAGTTCGCCACGGCGAAAGAGTCCGAATCTATATAGTCGCGGGAGGGGTTCAGTTGTGCGAAAATTAGAAAAATCTGAGGTAGAGAGAGAGGCTCTGCTAGGATTTCATATTTTGGCTTGGAGGGAGCATTTCTAAGGATCCATTACCTCGAGTAAGTGATTTTAACCTCTAATCTACTTTCTTTCTTGGAATTTTTGAGGATTTATGGTGAAACCCTAGAGTTTTTTAGGTTGTGATAGAATTGAGGTTTTTGACCGATTGTTTTGAGTTTAATTGATTGTTTTGGGTTAGTCTAAGTATTTAATCGGTGTAGTTTTCTTGGATTTAAAGAACTTGGAGTTTTTGAAGTTAGGGTTCATGAGATTGGGAGGTTTGTGACTGAGGATGACAATGTGGAGATTGATTTTGAGTTTTTGTGATTTGGGTTATGATAAGGAAGGTTAAATTGGATGTTTAATCGGTTTAGATTGTTGTTAGAACTTCAATTGTTCAAATGGGATGTTTGGGTGTAGAATTCCTATAGTGAGTCCTTGAGGTTTGAACCCTAATTGATGCTTGGAAGGGGATTTGATGTTTTAATGGACTTTTATAACCTTGGAGTGTTGTTTTGATGGTTATACCCTTTGAGTTGGGTAGAGTTTTAGTTGGAGCTAGGAATCTTGTGTCCCCAATTGTTGTTTTAGCCACATTATTAGTTGAAAGCTAATACATGGTGGTTGTGTGTTTGTGTGCTTGTGTAGACCGGTTGTGAGTGTAACAACGAAACTACTACACTTATAAAGTAATCAATATCAAAAAGTTAACCATGATAGAAAAGAAACTTTGTAAAAATATTTAGAAATACTATCATGGTTATATAAACATCCTAAATCATATGAGATTAACCATGATAGAAAAAGAGTTAAACCAATCCATAAATATGTCTATCATGGTTAAAAGAACTTTCCTAAATTAACTGCGTGCAAAAAGATATTCATAATGGATAGGGCTTTGGGTATTATAAATCTAGAATATCATTTTCAACCATAAGCCCATAACACGATTTTACTAAATAGTACCTTTTATAACTTTCAACAAAATCAAAAGTCATTTCATGTCAAAGATCACTGTGGATTCACCACTCATATCAACAAAAGAAATCACATGCAAATGCCTAAAGGCCTCCGGCCTTCTACCAGCATACAATCCAGTAACAGTTCTCAAAAGTACACTGTCAAAATAATCAATCTCAAACATATCAGAGTATGTGGAATGGGCCCTATCATGGCAATATACATCTATCCAACACAATCAAAAGAGTGGAAGCGCTACAATTTTGCAATAGCAGCTCAAGCTTCCGGAGCCTTCCCTGACTGACCCGAACGGGAACTATCACCTGGAAAAGTGTTAAATCAACGGGGTGAGACAAAAGTCTCAGTAACCAACAATCCTACTCATCAAGCATACAAGTAAGTGCTCGTGACGTGTCAAGTGAGACAATTACAAATTCATAGTATTCCAACAAATTCCATATTGTCAAAGCATATAAAAAGTACAATCAATATTCTTTCCACCTCCCTTATATCCACCCACCTTATATCCTCTGACTAAACCCATGGGCTAAATCCTCATCCATGTGACTGGTAATTAGACAAGCTCACCGATCAAGTGATATGGACCGGCCAAAATCCACAGAGCACAAGACCGGACCATGGGTTCCCCCTGACACCCTACCAATGCCCTATAATGAATAATTGGGCCAAAGGACCAATCAGTGTACACCTGATAGCCCTACCACCTTATATCCTCAAATGTACATAATTCACCCCCTTATATCCTTTTTGTTACAGTACCCATCATCAACATCCGCCACCCCTCATATAGCAACACTCAAAATATTGCATTCATAAACAATCATCAACATGTAAAAATCAATTCGGATTTTCCATTTTTCAATTGACTCATAATACCTAAGATCATCATAATAGTAAACATATATCTTTTGCAACAAAAGTCTCACAAGACAATTTCAATAACAACATACTTTCATAGCTCACATCGTAATGCAATAATATTTCATAAATTCCTTATAATTCACAATCAATCACAAACAACCTACGAGCATGAATAATAAGTGGAAAGTGGTTACCTCTTGTCTAGAACAAGTATTACCACAAGGTTAACCCCGTGCTCATACCAATAGCCCAATAATTTAATCTACACAACCAATACATTTACATATCAATACACAAGCTATCTAATTAATTACTTAAACTAAAACATATATTTATAAGGTAAAGTTTCTAATTCTATGCTAAACCCAAACCTCTCATAACCCATAATTAAGTCTTTTAGCACAAAATTTATATATCCTCACAATCCAAAATTTTTATTTAAACCTTTCAAAGTATTTACTTTAATACAGATTTTTCTCAAATTTTTAAATCTGAAATTATCATATTTAAAATTCAAAAATCCTATTTTAACTTTAAATCTCAAAAACCAACCATTAGAAATTCACTATACATCAAATGCATCTAAGTAAATAATTTAATCAACAGATTCATGGTATAAATATCATATTTTTCATAAATAAATATCTGTTTAACTAAAATAATTCATTTAAAAATATTAGGTCAGTCAATAAATAAAACTAAACTGATATAAATGATCTACTAAAA